TGATGTGTTAGTCAATCCTGTCAATTGAATTAAACTTATTAAAGTTATAAAAGTAACGTATTATGGTTCAGTGGATTTTTAATTACTTCTAACCCTTCACGATAAACAAAATTATATTAGGCTAAACTTTTTACTAAATCCGTGTAGAGTAGATCCTTTAGGTCAATCGCACCCTTTGAAACTCAAAGATAATGACCTCTAATCTTCTCCACTTAAATATTAAAGTCAGTTCGCTTGGTGTAGGACTCGAATCTATTATCTAAGACACAAATCCAACCTTTGCCAATTGAGCTAATCCCGAGGTTACAAAGATTTTGGGTTTATTGATGGATATAATAGAAACTTCATCAGCTTTTATTTTTTACCACCTAATGAACATGAACCAAATGTGTGAATTAATAAAAGCATTTCTATTTCTACCACCTAATAAACATAAAATAAATGTATGAGTTGGTAAAAGCTTAGAGATCACGACAGATTTCTAACTTTTGTAAATTCCTTTTATTTACTTTGATGTTTGATAGATACTTATCAGCTATATACTACTCGAAAAATTGGAAGTTCCAATGTGCAAAATTGAATTCACCAAAATATTTATCACAAGTTGAATGACTATTTTATGGTTCAATCACAATATTGATTGCGTGTACTTTTTTCCTTGGTATTGAAGTTGTATGTTACAGCATCTAACACTAATTGTAGGCTTGAATAAATTATCATAATCATCATTATCAAAAGGAATCTTATAGAAATATCCCAAAAAGTCCCAACTTACAAATCTCTCTGGCCATTAATCATAGACTTACCAAAATTATTCAATTGCATATAAAATTGAAAACCCAAAAAAATAAGGTTCTTTCTCTTCAAGAATTACACACAAAGATCTCCTTCCATAATTTTAAGCGTGATTAGCAACATTAGATGCAAGATGGAACGGAATTTCATGGATGAGGTAGCAAATAAGGTGATAATATATATNCGTTAAAATCAAGTTTAAAAAAATTCTTCCATGACACATCTATCAAACATGTATCTCACACGCATGTATACATGTGATACACATTTTATACAAATATGATACATATCTAATATACAAGTGATACACATTGTGATACACATCATTTTTTTCATGTTGATATTCTACTTCGAATTTTCAATTCAAACCACCTCAAAACTCCACCAAATCATCCAAAAGTGAGATTCAAGCTCCTTAAGATGTACCAAATCTATCTTAATAACACCTGCTCAGAAGAAAGCAAAAATTTGAGCTTTTTTTTGCTACAAATAGCTAATTCGCCAATATTAGTAATATTTTATGAAGGCGTAATGGCTTCCTGTCCACGTAAACTTGTACCGGTTTGTAAAGTCGATATATGAATTTATATTTTTCTCATTTGAACACTTCAACTTGACGAACTGAACATTAATAAACACATTTGACCATTGACCAAGCCTATATAAAAGTGGCACAGCGGATATGGCTAAATTGTGTGCAAATCACTTTGCCAAAGCGCGTGAATAGTTTTATTTCTATTAAAAAAATATTAGAAATAAAATATAAAAAAATAAGAAAGAAAAAAGAAAAAGAAAAAAAGATTTTTCTCTCTCCCCTGCTCTTTTTCCCGCTCCTTCCACCTATCTCATCTTCCCGAGCAAACTCTCATCCCCATCTTGTAAAAAATTTTATTTTCTGATAGGGTTAGATGCGGTGGTTAGGTTTGCTCCATTTCACAGAAGTAATCCAACTTTACAAACCGGTACAATTTTCCTATGGAGCTTCAAGAGTAATCCTACTGTGGTTAGGTTTGCTCCATTTCATAGAAGCTTCAGTGCATAACTACAATTGTGAGAAATTCGCGAGCAAAGACAATGCATTTGTTGTCCACGGCGGCAACGAAGGAATTTACGCCTCTACTCCTAACTTCACTGATTCTTCTTCTCCCTCCGACTCTTTCATTCAGTAATCACTCTCTCCAGAATGCAATTTATCCAGATCTGTGTGAAAAAATTGTTAATTTTATATGCCAGCAAGGCTAGGCGTCAGTTGAGCAAAGCACAGATAGCTTTGCAAGCTTTGGCTACTGCTACTAATGGCTTCTTGGAGGTAAAATTTCTGATCCTTTTTTTTTATGTTTGGAGATGATAATGTTACTAATTTTGTATAATGTCACGTCAATTTTTTTTTAAATAATATAGAACCAAAAAATCCACATGTCATATAATAAAGACCAAACATGTGACATGGCATCCATGTCAGCGCGATTGGCGAACACGTTCAACAAAAAGTGTTTATTAGTGTTCACTCCGTCAAGTTGAAGTGTTCAAATGGGAAAAATATAAGTTCATGTATCAGCTTTACAAACCGGTACAAGTTTAAGTGGCCAGGAAGTCATTACGCCTTTTATGAATTGGCCAATTTTGTAATAATTTACTTATAAATGGACATAGCTGGCATTTCCATATCAAACCCACAATTTTAAAAAATAAAGAAGCACAATTCTATTAATTATAAAGCAAATAGACTTAGCCAGAAATACAGCTAACCTCTGTTTCTATTCTACCAATCATAATCTCACCTGCATAATATTGACAACATTCAAAGTTAAGTTACTAGTACTTTGGTTATGTGATAGTAAATACAGGGATAGTAATATTGACAACATTCAATTACAGACTACTACTAGTACTACTATGCCTCAACACCAAGCAGGAGCTAGGGTCGGCTATATAAATCCAAACTATCAATGTCGCTCCATTTAAACCCGTCTCAAATTCTGAAGTCCAATAATTATTTACTAATCTTTACCCTATTTCTCCACCTTCCAAATACAGAGGAGGGGATAAGCAGCAATCAAGAGGGAGGAGCTTCCACTGCTTTTATATGTGGTTGGATCACAAGTCATTCTTGAACTTGAACTGGCAGAACTATTATACTCTGAGTCCACTATTCATCTCAACTTTACCTAGAGCATGAGTCTCCTAATTCTAATATGATTATGATCGCATATACAACTTGACAAAGTGAATTACTACAATGACATGACTAGTTAAATAAAGACTCCATAGGGATGAATAAAGAAGGGGAGTCTTGGCGTAACTGGTAAAGTTTTTACCATGTGACCAGGAGGTCACGAGTTCGAGCCGTGGAAACAGCCTCTTGCAGAAGTGCAGGGTAAAACTACATACAATAGACCCTTGGGGTCCGGCCCTTCTCCGGACCCCGTGAATAGCAGGAGCTTAGTGCACCGGGGATAGGGATGAATAACTGCTCGGTTTCAAGTGTCATCCACAGGCCGCAAGCTTTGAATTGAAGTTGCTCTAACAAACATCATATAAGGAATGATATTTCATAGGAGGTGAATTTAAGGTCACTTTGTACATAAAATAACAGATCTTGGTGAAAGATGTCGGCGACTTTTTTCCTTTTCTTGGGATAAAGTAAAACAGATATGCGCACACCTCCCCCTCC